CATCACACATAGGAGAAAATAAAATTAACCGTCTGAAAACATAAAAAGAGAAACAGACTATAATTGCAACTTCAGAATAGGAAATACATAAGCATTGCTGAAAAATGAAAATAATAATACATTACACAAACTGTGTTAATACCTGTGCCACCAAAGAGTTATATGTCTGATGAATACTTCAGAAGCTTTCAGTTTTTAAAAGCTTGAAAAGTCACATTTCTCTGAAGCATGACTCGTAATTGATTGGCTCCTTTCACAACCAGCTTCGAACTATAATACACATGTCCGAACTTAATTTCAAAACACTACTTCTAACTAGTCCGAGTGATAACAACTTATCTCTGCGCATTCCTTATTTCACCTCAAAGATCTTAAGACAAGTATGCTCCACCAACCCAACACGGAAAGCAGGCAATGTTTCAAGTAACTAGTAATTCAAGGCTGCTGCCATGCAAATTGCTTACAGACATCGAATCGACTACAATCATTTAGTCTCAAGTATACAGCTCTGCTCCACCCACCCAACATGGAAAGCAGGCAAACTGTCCCTCTCTTAAATTCATTGCTGCTGGAGTGACAATTACGTACAAAGTTTTACAGATACGTTATAGTGCTCACGGTTCTAAAAGTAATCTTTGGGGGGGACTGGTACTTTTCAATCTTTGCTTTTCCGTGCCACCATCACATCGGCGCAGGCTGGGCTCACTGAGATGTGCGCCGATTCCCAAGTCCTCGGAGGACCGCCCAGCATGGAACGAACAGAAAAAAAGAAGCAGACTTCGAGACATTTGAAATAGGGAATGGTTAGAAGGGTGACAACGTGGCATTTACTCGGCAAAGACTGAAATGAGTATCATTTGGGTGCAAAACGGCAACCAGCTTCTTACTGCATAGAACATAGGGGCGAAAAAAAATCATAATTAAAAAGTGACCTGCACCCATGCTATGCAAATAGCATAGCACAGGAAGAAAACTACGGGTGGATGAGCAAAACACGAATTCCCAAATAGCCCCTCAACACATCAATAAAATCCGAGATAGTGCTTCCTCGTGATGCAGAGCCAGCAGCAGAAACCTACAACCAAAAAGTGTAAACAAATTAATACCCACTACAAAAATAGAATCACAGATACATAGACAATTGAAGCAGTACAACGTAAGCAGGACTTAATAAAAGTTCGTAGACTTACCCCTGAGACGCCTCGTCACAATGAGTTACATTATTCGGATATAATTAAAACTCCTAGAACAGCAGACCGTGCAGCTGCATGAATTAGTCCATATTCCTGAAAATAAT